GGAAACTCGTTAGCTTGAATTTTGTTGTGACGATGTTGCCTTGCTCTGATGCTGTTCGTCATATGACGGACGAAAGTTTAGCACCCTTTCACCGGAATCGAAGGAGGTTCTGGTAGAACTGACCTACGATTCTCTTCACCCAACACTTTCACTCGAAATGGAAGTAAGCTCAACAATGTAAAGATGTTGTTGGATTCAGTCAAGTTGACGAAAATCCAAATGGAAAGGAAACAAAGGAGGAGAATAAAGAAGGACAGGTTAGCACACCTTTCATATCGTTTGGAAAAATGAGTGGGAAAGGGAATCGTGAATTGGTCTCGCTAGAAACTGAGGGAAGATTTCTTTGCTGTTCTGGTTGTAGATTCGGGCAAATATTTTCCGAATGCAACTCCCTGCTAGCCCTATTAACTGGGGCTTAGGCTTAATCTTCCACGAGACAAACATTGTAGGAGCGTGAAACCATGCTTTCCGAAACCATACCAAACAGTCGGGCAAGAAAGGATTTTAAAAAGAGTAACAGTCGCCCAAAGTCGCATAAGCTGATGCACCCTAATTCGAGATCTACAAATAATCTCAAAACTTAAAAATGACTTTGTCCCAAACTTTGTCCTAACAAGTCTTTCGGTCTCGAGGAATTCAATTTATGAATCCCTTCAATCCGTTTTTTAAGACAAAATGAAGATGTGATTATGTGTCATTGTTCCTTTTCGTCCTTCTTTTTTCTAGTTGAATTTACGCCAACTTGACTCAATCCAAAAAGGACAGCTTTAAAGTAACTTCAATAATGGAAAAGAGTTTATTTCTGAATTACCTACAAACCATGGAGTTATTAAAGAAATGTTAGAAACCCAACTTCCCTTCACACACCAGAAATACATACCAAAGAATATCAAATATTTTGGGTTTCCCCTTTCGCCGGTTTCATCTTTGCTTATTCATAATTCCAGATCAGAATGAGGAGGAAGAGCAAGGGAATAGGAATGATAAAATATAGAACAGGAATAAAAATGAAAATAATGAGCTTTAAAGAACCCCTTGTACAGATTCGAGCGGAATCCTAGTTGTCCCGACTAATGACTTGGAATATAGTTCTTTATTGCCAATCCGACAAAAGGACTAGAGCTTGAATGAGACAAGCCGAGGTGGCTGTGCGGACTGGTGGTCTTTGGAAGAGCTGATCTCTTGCACGACAGGTCACCAGTTTTCTCCGTTCGCCACCCAACTCTGGGCCATGTTTATTGCAGTAAACCATGAAACATGGAAACCGAATCTATTTTGTATATATGAAAGGAGGCAGGTAATCAGACACCCCTTGATGGATGTAGTGGATTTAGTTTAGCTTTAACGCATTAACAACTATGTAAGCGAAGCTGCACAGGCTCTCTAAGTAACATTGGATTAACATCTGCAGGTTTTGGGGAAGTCCAATTTTAAGTGAGGCTCAAAAAAATTTCGCCACATTCTATGAAGAAACACGAGACTTAGCTTTGGGATTGTGTTTGTCCCCAAGTCTAGCAAAAAAGCAAATGGTTTAGCTAGAAATTCGCTTAATACGAAAATCACTTTTAGCTCTTAACTTATGAGTTAGACGCACAAATGAAATGGAACAAAATGACATACGACAACATTGCAGGAGACAAAAGAATTAATAAGCGTTTTAAGCGGTCACGAGTGAATTCATTTCACTTTTCAACAAGCATTTAAGAAAAGCAGAGGATATCCAACCGAGTCATGAGACTTTCAGAAATGGGTAGGTTTGCTGCCGGCCAGCTTTCCTTTCTCGTGTTTTAATGCATTAACGTAAAACATGGTGTCCTAGTCTGGCGACATTTGTCACATGACGGAAAACAGATCAACACGGAGTCATCGGGGTCGCGGGACGGTGAGCCGAGGACTTATTCACACAAATCAACCTCCATTGCCTTTCACGCCCAATACCAATTTCAATCCCAATTCCACTTCCAATCTTCAACTTCATATCCCTTCGAGTGGCTTCTCGAAACAAAACGAAACGTGCACCAGCGTCATTCGGTTAAGGTATTGTTGGAACGCCACTTTTTCAGCATAACCTACGACCAATCCAACGGTGCCCGGTTCGCATCGTCTGGTACCCTGCGTCCCTTTTGGCCGAATCGGTGACTCGGTTGACACGACGATCCTCCCGGGCCCGGCCGGTGTCGGTGTGAAGCATACACCCGGTCTGAAAGGACCAGTCGCGGATCAATCAGTGCTAATCGCGATAAGTTGGCACAAATTCAGGACAAGCCTGGCCCCAAACACTGACACACTCGGCCTACCCGACTTTGTTTA